CAACTTCATTAAGTGAAGGGTTATGGGAACCCCATTTCCTTTTCTTCATGTCTGAACCAAAATATCTTGGTAAGCCCAAATGTGTGCGAGGTCTGAAACCCCTACCTGAGATCTCTGGGAGGAGGAAATGGCATGGAGGTAGATACCATCATCTTCCTTCTGACATCATTAAAATCCTGCACCTGGATTGTAAGTGCAGCATTGATTTTAAGTCTATCCACTTAAGTCTATCCTACTATCAGGTATTATTTATAGAAGAATTTCATAGGGGACTTTACAGAATTAAGCACTACTCATTCATTAGCATGAGTAACTAATTCTGTCACTATGTATCCAATGTCAGCAGTAAATTGTTTCACAGCAACACTCAGTGGAATCAGTGCTGAATCCCAGCTGAGCATCTCTAAGGGAATCAGTAATTTCATATCAAGTGCCTCATTTTCTACTGCACAGAAATGAACCCACAAAAAGCCGAAGACTGCTTGAGGACGCATCATGAGTTGGATAAGCTTCCAGCAGGTGTTTCATATCAAAGCTTGAATATTCTGATACTCCCTGTGCCCACCTAATTCCAATCAAGTCAATCCTATGGGGCACTAACTAAGAAAGGTGCAATATCTGTGCACTCTCTGCAGATGTAACTTTCAGAACTTCATATATATATTTATATATATACACACAGGCATCAGATCTCTGCTCAGGCTGTGTTAAGAATAGGAATGACTGTCTTTAAGAAGTCCACTGTCTGAGCTCAGTTTCTGTTGTAGACTAGACTTCTTTGTCCTTTCATTTGCTCAAAAGAGAGAGTTGGGATAGTACATCTGTTTTATTATCCATCCCCAGCAACAACAGGGAGAAGGGACACTTGAAGTGAATTAAAGGGTGAGGAATTATACACAAATTTGTAAATTAACATAGGAAATTCTCTTGTCATCTATGATAGTTTCTGGGATATGTGAAAGGGCCTTGGAATACATCAATTGCAAGAATAGGTTCAGAAATCAATACAATTTACTTCTCAGACCTTTGGCATGGATTATGCAAAGGTAACATTCTGGTGCTAAAGTGAATAAACAAGTTCTCTGATGCTGAAGTGAATAAAGAACAATGCTTGTTCTGTCATTAGAAATTTTGTACCACTTCCAAATGACAGCATTATTTTTAAATCTAATTTTAAAAGGTAGTATGTTGCCCAAACCATCCTAAACAGAAAAGCTCTGTGTACTAATATGTATTTCTGTTTTGCAAAGAGGATACACAAGCATACAATACAACTCTTTCTGTGTGTGTCCAGGGACACAGTTTCTTATTTTAATAACATAAATATTTCATGCTATTTTCCCTTCAGGATCCATTCACCTAGGGAGAGAGCAGGGGGTAGATGGGATCTTTTCTTTTTACTCCTCACCACCACCAAAACTTGTTGTTCATTTCCAATCATTTAGAAAACTGGTTAAGGTAATATATTTACCAAAATGTTACGGAAGACATGATTTTGTCAGCAGAACTTTTATTACTTGTATTGCTAGTTGTTACTGTTAATACTTAGGAAAGATAATTCATAATATTTAGGAGTTTAATTTAAAATTGAAGTAGGATTTTTAACGTCCTGCAGACAAACTGTGTCATCAAAGGACACGAATGCCTTCTAACCACCAAATTTTACTACACTGACCTGAATTGTGAGATGTACTTGGCAACTTCTACTGCTTTGTTACTGTAGCTTGTAAGCCCAATAATTGCAAAGGGTGTGTATTACACACAATATTTATAATTCCGCCCTTTCAAAACAGGAAGACCATCATGTGATCTACTCTAACCACAAGCATAGCATGAATAAAGACCTTCAATAAGTAATTTCCACATTAAGCCCATAATTGTTGCGTATTGATATAGTCAGTTATTGCGGAATTCAGCGAGAACCATTCTGTGGATGAGAAAAAAATTAACAAATACTTTATAATATGATTTCAGAAATATTCTGTGATGATGAATTAAGTGTTCAATAAGAGAGTAGATAGAGCTCGTGTTATTGGTAAATTTGGTATGAAAATCAATGTTCAAAGCCCTGAAAATACTACTTTCCTCTGCAAGGAGAAAAAGAACAGACTCTACAGCCTGCATAGTCAACAGGATTTGCCTTGGAATGGTAAATGACAGAAAACTGGTCTTATAATTTACCACCAGAATTTGTAAATTTCATTCTATCCCTTTCCTCAGTGTGAAACATAATTGGAAAGAATCCAATGCATGCTTTAAATAATAATAATAATAATAGCAATAATAGCAATAATAGTAATAGCAATAGCAATAGCAATAGCAATAGCAATAGCAATAGCAATAGCAATAGCAATAGCAATAGTAATGCAGCTAGTAAAAAGAGCCATATATTCAGTTCACTACTCATTTTGATACTGTCACTGAAATATTCTGGTTTCCATTGCCCTTGAAAGGTAGCAGTGCATGACAGAGTTTAATGTTGAAATCTTCAGGATCCTCAGGCCTTAAAATGTGTGTTGATACTCAAGCTCTTCCATGTTTCCTCATCTAAGATCCCACCAAAATATACTAAAACAAGAATTCCTGTGTGTAGACCTGTTTCCAGGATTGGGGCCTTTTTTGTTAAACATTCTAAAGGCCTGGAGAAGATTTGGAAGACAAAGCTGGAATAGTTCAAAGAAGCTGCTGCTACAGCTGTTAGAGATAAAATACAACAAGCACATGCTATATCGGTCATACACCATCCTGAGGGCAAGCTACCGGCCTAGCAATTGTACAATGAATATGGTCTTGCATATAAATGAAAATCATTTAATGATACAGAGAAAAACAGTGAGGACCATTGTTTCCAGATAATTTATACAGATATCTAAGCATTCTTCTTATTCTTATTCTTATTCTTATTCTTATTCTTATTCTTATTCTTATTCTTATTCTTATTCTTATTCTTATTCTTATTATTATTATTATTATTATTATTATTATTATTATTATTATTATTAAGAATTGAATTCTCAGGAGATTTGTGAAAGTTGACTGTCAGGTCAAAGGCTAGTGCTTTATCCATTTAATCATTCATCCATACTTGATTAATAGACTTTTTAAACAGAGTCATATATTAATAATGTAGGCTTTAACTGGGCATCTCGATCAAAGAGCAGATTTTAGAAGTTGATTGGTTTGTATCCTCTAGGCTTGTGATAAATGTCTAGAGATTTCTTGTAGTCATTTTTTTCTTGTCATTTTTTCATTCTGATATTCATTTCTTTCTTCAACATTGTCACATGAATATTTAAAACAAGAAATATAATCAGTTCAGTGCTTTTCCTCCTATGCCAGGCTCATAAAGAGAATAGCTGTCATTCAATGCAAAACCTCTTTATTACAATATTTAAGCGTTGTCTGTTTTACCTTGATTGTTGGGGAGCATGAGCTGAAAATCTTATATGCATCAATAGGCTTATGAATTTAATACCATTCCATAGATTTCAGGGTAAGGAAGATTAAGGAGAAGAAAACTTCTTAAAGTTGTGGAGTTAATAATTAGAGGAGGTAGAAAATATTCAGCAAAATGATTCTTGATGAAAAATGCTGTCTTATTCAGATTTAAATATTTCTTGGAATATGTCAGTGATCAGGAAATTCAGGTATATCCGGTTAAATTATTTCAAATTACAGTCTTTCATTATTGTTGTTTAGAGATAGCTTTTTATGTCCAAATCTTAATTACTTCAAAAGTCAAAATACGAGGAGGGATTACTTCTATTGAAAGTAAATACTGCAACTAAGCTAAATATTTTTGAAATTTTTTAATGAACATTTTTTTTTTTAACTTTTTGTTACAACTTGGAACAAAATCAGCACTCAGTGAATGAGTAATTCCTGTTCCAAGCTTCCTGTAGCATTCCTATTAGCAACAGTAGTACACTTATTTATGATGTAAAATTCCATATCTTAAAGGCCTAAACAAAAATAAGCACTTTTCTAATGCCCTGAGCTTCAAAGATCAGTGAAAACTGATTCTGAAGCAAAGCAAGCTGACTTATCTGGTGTTACTCAGACGTGAATAATCGCCTTTCATGCCTAATTCATAGTGTATCTCTCTGCTGCCAGTTCTGTATTTATAGCATCTACAAAAAGTTCCAATGATACCTAAAGCACTTCCAAGCAGTCCTCTCCCATATAAGCTGTGGATTTAAAGAGATCACAGTGCCCTGCTTTGCACAGTGTTGTTTCTGGTCCAGTTCCACCAGCCCCGTGCACTTGGAGCTGCTGATGGTGTTGCTGTTCAGCTTGAAACTCAGCATGAGATAGATGCCAGAAAGGGATAAAATAGAGCTTCGTTTCTGACCACACACACACAAGACAAAGTAATTCCTTGATCTGGAATAGAAACGGTGTTCCACATAATTGTATAGGTGTACTCTTCAGGAGCAATGTTTCTTCTCACCATCGTTTATGATGCTGTGGGGTCTGGAGATCCTTGAACTCATCAGAGTAAACAACTTCCTGAAGGATCCAGTTACGCTACTGCAAATCTTAATTGCCATTTGCAGAATGCACCTTCTGCTTGAATTTAGCATAATAAAACTGGGAGTTTCTGATGCAGTTACTTTGTATTGTTGATGTTATCCTGCTGTCACTGATTTCTGTAAGGAATACAGACATTGCCATCACCCTGTACAGTCTCCTTTCTTCTCTCCCGTGGTTTGGACGTAATAGTTACTGGCTATCAGTCCAAGTTGTGTGTTGTGTCATGCACTGAAGGGGCATGATACATGTATATGAGGCTTTTGGTGTACAGAAAGATTTAAGGCTTGGGAGCCTGTAGAAAAGTTCTGCATTGCTGATCAGGAAAAGAAGTGCAGCAAGGGTGTGAGGGATAAGTGTTCCTGTAAGCATACTTATGATAAAATGCCAATTGTGATAAGGTACTCTGGACTGAGATAACATCATGGGGTGGATCCTGGAGGTCCTAAAAGCTTACTCTAAATATTGTCACTGTCTCTTCGTTCCTGCAGTGTGGTAGTTCTCTATATTCAGGAATGGCAGAAGCAGAACTATTCCGTTCTTCAAATCACTCCTCAAGGTAATGGAAACTAAAGGTTGCTTGACAGTTGATCCATCTATTCACAGTAGATGAACTGTGTTTTCTGAATTGTTGGAGTCTCATCATAGTAGCTTCTGCTATTTGAATGTTGTTGGCAGGCAGACCAAACCAAAAACTGTTCCTAAGGGTCATTGACTTTAGCAGAGAGTTTAAGATCTGCATTTTTTGTGTATTAAATGTTGCCTTCACAGACAGAAAGTCTCTATACCAGTGGGGGTGAGTGTAGAGATGCAAGAAAATAATATTTTTTAATGCTGCTGTATATTTACAAGTATATTTGTACATGAAAGTGGAGATTTGCATTCCTTCAGGAGCAGAGGCCCAAGTTTCCTCTGTTTTAATCAGGACATGTGTGTATATATACTTATATTAATGACAGTTTAGTTATAGTATAAAAGTTTCACTATGTACATGTATTTGAGTTGATTACATTGTTTCCTGGCTTCTTTTTTCATTTTAATTCATCAAACATAATGTTGCATGGATGCAGTTATCCCACTTAATTAGGGTAGCTTGTAAACGTTATTATGTTCACAGAGTTATCCATTCCTTTTCTATGTCCATCCACAGATTTCTGATAAGGTCCTTCATCTGATCCCTGCAGAGAAGTTTGTTTAATTGTTTCTGATGTTCTGGTTATTCTAATGAGTTGTTTTGTGCTTAATTAAAATTAAATTTGAGGAATGAAAAAGACACCTGTCCTTCTACACTTTACCTTATTTAATGGTTATGGTGGCAGCATGACTATTTTACTTTACTTTGTGAAGAATAGATTTCTAAATAGAGAAGGTATTTTTAATTGTCCTCTGAGTTTTCTTATCTACTCTTCTGCTCTTGCCTTTCTTTTGTTTGTTTCTCTTATGTGGACAAATGGATTTTTACCTCTCCTCACACAAATAAACTGTTCTTCTTTTCACCCTCAATGAATGTTTCCCCTGGTCTTTTGTCACACTGAGGATGGACATTTCTATCCCATGCTGGCTTCTCTTTTGATAACAGCTTAGGGAACACAGAATATTTCTTCCATGAGATCTTTTTGTCCCATTAAATTCATCTTCCTCCCCCGAAGCTAGCTGCTTGGCAGCTGTGCTGCAAGAAACACATGAGCTATTTAGATGGATGATATCGACATCTTCTGCTTCCTTAGGGATTATAGCAAGCTACCTTTCAATGATCCATAGTTAGCTTTGGTTTCTCTACTAATTCAGTCCTGTATGACTGAGGGGATATTCTGTGAGTGCCACAGGCAGAAACTGCAGACAGCTGAGTTTTGAAAGCCAAGGGGGCCAAACAAAATCTTATCCCTGGTACAGTAGATGCTTCTGCCAGAGGAAAAAAATGAGGAAAATATTAAGTCACATGAGTCCTGTCAAGTCTACAAAGTCTGTGGTAATAGTGAGAAGGGAGCCTGGGGCAAACTGCAAGAGAGAAAGCAAAAAACACTCGCTACTGACCATTTGGGTTTCATAGCTGCTGTTGCTGTTAATCCGGCAGCATTAGGATTTCTTTCAGATACTGCTAGAAGCAATAGAGTTGACACATAACTTCCGTAATGGAACAGCACTAACTGACAAACAGCAAAGTCTGCTCAAACTGTGAATGGTGGGTGACCCACTGCATTTAGCAGTTCTACAAGAAACATCCAAGGTGATATCACAGCTTGCCTCTTTTTTTTTTTTTTTTTTTAATTTCGTTTTTTTCCACCTACCACAAGGAATTAAAAAAAATTAAAAAAAAAAAAAAAAAAAAGAAAAAGTATGAGTATGAGTACATGCATATGTGTGAGAGAGGAAGATGTGTTTTTTCAGGCCCATGCACTGAAAATAAGTTGGCAGGCAGAGCAGTGAGGGTTCTTCTTTCAGAAACATCAGAGGTATTTCCAGTCAGTGACTATTTAAGTGTCAAGACAACATATCCCAGATAACAGGAGAGAAGGGACATACCCATAAGCCTGTGCTTCTTTGGAAATATATATATATATATATAAAGAGAGAGAGAGAGAGAGCGGGAGATCTTAAAAATAGAAATGGAAAACTTTACTTTTAAAATTTTTTGAAAGTTCTAGGGACATTTTGGTGAAATTGGTTTTGTCGATTTTTTTTTTTTCATGATGATACAATAGTAGGAATATGATCAGATGATGTAGGTGGCAAAAGAGCTTCCACCCTCTTTGTTGATACTCTGAGTTGTATTTGAATTGGGGATGGCAAAACTGCTTTTGCCCTCTTGTCCTAAAGTAGACCCCGTAAAAAACTATGAAGAGCTCCTGGGGACCTTTCCTTTTGTCAGACAAACACTTGTCAAGCCTGAGATTTATTTATTTTTTTAAATGGGAAAAAAAATAATAAATATATTAAACAGGGCATGTTTTCCAACTAGAGCAGTTTTAATAAAAATAACCTTGTCTCCACAAAAGATTTCATCCGCATCTCTCAGTGCAATGTACAATAAATATTCAACACTTTTTTGATTCCAGAGCTCTTAGTTTAAACTGGTCCCTCAAAAGTTGGATCTACTTTGCAGACAATTTATACAGTTCAGTTAAAACCATTGTTTCATGTTCTAAATTGTGAAAACAATAGTCTTCACATTTCTTTCATAATCTTATCCATCTTCAAGCCACCACGAATAGACTCCTTGACCTAAGGTGCAGCATACAGGGCTTAGAGGGAGAGGAGAAACTATTGTTTTCCTGTTTCATTTCTTTACATTGGTGTGTTCTTTTCAATTCTGCTTCTAGATGACCAAAAGTATAGGATTGTCTTTTTTTTTTTTTTAATAAAAAAAGGATAATAAACACTTAAAGCTAGAACAAAGCTTGATTGTCTATGTGTTCAATAGCAAGAAACAAATCTAGGTTTAGTTAAATGTTTCTAAATCTTCATTGTTATTGTCATAGTAGCTTTACATTCATTTGGGCATTGGACTGTATATGTGTTGCCAACATAGTTTGTATCTTAAAAAGCAAAGGAGACCTGCATTTACAGGAAAAGCTGTATGGTTGCATAAGCAAAATTTTAAAAATATAGATGGGTAAAAAATTCTGTTATAAGGGTTTTGGAGCTTGTCAGAGACGCTTAATGGAAGTTTTTTGCTGTTTAGATGGAAAGGTATAATATGACTTTAGCTGTTAGGCATATCCTAAGGCCTTTGGAATAGAAAGCCTAGTCTGTAATAAGACAGTTGTCAGAGATGAAGTTGCTGATAATAGAGTATTCCCTATATTAAGAAAAATAAGACTTAAAAGCTGTGAATGGTCCTCAGGAAAATTGCCTGGTCATATGGAGAAGCTTGAAGGACTTTTGCTTTTCAGATGAATGAAGAAAGTTCAACTTCAAACACTGTTAGGGAGTTCAAAGTCTGTTTACTGAATTGCAGTATCCCTGTCCTCCTCTTTATGGAAAGGTTGTGTTTTTAAGATTTAATTTTAGCAAGAAACAGGGAATTCTATAAACTGGATTAAATAACGAAGTCTGAATTTTTCAGCTAAAACAAATGGTTTTAATATTTTAAACAAAATGGGTGCATGTATGCAAAATGTGATAATATTTCTGAAGAGCTGAGCAGACATAATCAAGCAAGTGGTAGTTCATTTCCCAGATGAGCTATGAAGTATCCTCTGTTATGGTGCAGCTGTTTGCAGCAGAGGAGCGAACTAGAGCTCCTCCCTGGTGACAGAGCTGTAGGCTGCAGTTTTGATGTTCTGTGATGGAAAGGATTTTCTGAGGCCATGAGAGCTGGTGTCTCATTCAGAGTGAAGTCAGACGGATGGTTCCTATGCACTTAAAAGATCAGCCAATGTCTGTTGATAAAGTGAAGAGGCACAGACTTTTCAGAAAAGAAAAGAGAAAAGTGTGATAAGTTCAGCAGCTGAATAACCTCAGTAACATAAGAATTTAGTAGAGTTGGTAATTTCTGCCATTGTTACAGTAGAGTTCATAAATAATAAACTGGAAGGACATAGCCAAGGGTGAAAAGTTTGCTTTGGATCTCTTTTATAGAACTTACATAATCATGATTATATAGGTGTAATTAGATTGATGAATATCCTTACGGTATCAGTTTGTATGTCTGTAGAATCAAGGAAAACACCATTTCAAGGGTATTTTACTGGGTTTGACATACATATTGCATATATCCACCTGCAAAGCCTTAGTTAATGAGAGCATAATTCTGTAAAGAAATATAAAAATGTGATTGATGTGCCATATTCCTGTTGCATTCATGTCACATTTTTGCATTGTCTACTTATACCTTTTAGGTCTGGTGCTTTGTAGACTTTGGTTGTGCCTGATGAAAAACTGAGAACCGCTCCATTCAATGAGATATCAGTCCAGTTTCTAACTACAGAGCCCAAGATACAGAATATTTTTTACTATTACTAGGACTAATAATAATGTTACAGGTCCCCAAACTGAATTTTACCCAGAGTAGTAATGTGCTAGATCTTTCTGTAGCAAATACTTTGTCAACTATGCAGTTATCAGAATTTCAGTTATTTTTGAGACTCATGTTATAATCATTATTGGATGCTTGTTAATACTCAGAATTACAAGACCATAATTAAAATGAAACTTGAAAGAATCAGGGATGAATATTACCTCTTAAAGGAAGGAGGAGACAGTTGTCTATAGTATAGCTGCACACATATCTATCTATAGACATTACTCAGTGTATACTTATGACTCCTCTTTCTCCTTCTCCTTCTCCTTCTCCTTCTCCTTCTCCTTCTCCTTCTCCTTCTCCTTCTCCTTCTCCTTCTCCTTCTCCTTCTCCTTCTCCTTCTCCTTCTCCTTCTCCTTCTCCTTCTCCTTCTCCTTCTCCTTCTCCTTCTCCTTCTCCTCCTTTCCTCCTTCTCCTTCTCCTTTCTCCTTCTCCTTCTCTTCTCCTTCTCCTTCTCCTTCCCTTCTCCTTCTCCTCCTCTCCTCCTCTCCTCCTCCTCCTCCTTCTCCTCTCCTCCTCCTCTCCTCCTCCTCCTC